TATATAAGATGTATAGATAACGTATGTATATATAGGTATATATATATATATATATATATATATATATATATATGTATATATATAGTATTTATACGAAAAGTGGCAGCAGATATAATATAACATTATGTTTATGTAAAATGTTTGTCCGTTGGATGTTAAATTATGTGTAAAGAAGTTTTTTTTTCTTATTCAATTTTTTTTCTTCATATCCTGGGTTCATTTTTCATCAGTATACGTAGATTATTACGCACACACACACACACATATATATATATATATATATATATATACATATGTATATATATATGTATACATATATATATATATATATATATATATATATATATATATATATATATATATGAAAAACTTTAAATTTTTTATCACATTATGATTTCAATTCAATTTAAGAACACTGATTATATTATTTATTTAAAATTATTGTAAAAATAATGCCGTCATTAGTTGTTTAAATAATTAATGACGTCATTATTGTTAATTAATGCTCTCATTATCTTACCATCTTTAACACTATCTTTAAAGTTGTTATTTTTTTTTTATCCTTTTTTCCATTTTTATGAACATAATTTTTGCAAAAAGAAATGAAGAAAACCTTTTTTAAATAATTTTTTTAGAGAAATTTCGTTTGTGTGTGTTTGTGTGTGTGTATTTGTGACTGTATGTGTGCGTGTGCGTGCGTGTGTGTGACTGTATGTCTGTGCATGTGCGCGCGTACGCGTTCAGAATTGAAAAAATTCTGTTATGTTAGCTTTTCAAAATGCAGATAAAGTTTCAGGAATGTTGAGCTGAGATGTGTTTTAACTATTTTTGTTTCAACGTTCTCCGATTAATACGTAAATATATGCCTATGTACACACACACATATATATATAAATGTGTGTGTGTAGAGAGAGAGGAGAGAGAGAGAGGGAGAGAATAATTTACAGATCCCATCGAAATTTTTATCAAATTATAAAGTTTCTCACAAGTCATTCGCCCTTTTGTTAGTTCTTTCCATGCTCTCAAATGAGTTCGAAGTCAATGTTTTTCGGTTGTAAGAATTTCTTATTAAAAATGAATGTTATGGTTCATATTTTGGACGTTTGTGGATTCTCTTTTTGAGTATACATCTATCTATCTGCCTGCAGTAAGCTGGGTACGGCGGAATATTCTCCAGTGAGTCCCCATGCATCGTAACGTAAGTTAACATTCGTTCAGAAACGTGATATTTTGTAGTTAAATGTCTTTATCTCTATCCCTCCGTTCACGAAACATCCAGCAGAAAAATTTTCCCAATAAGCGGTTGATACTTCGATTCATTTTCATTTGATGTATTTATTTCAGGTTTCAGCATTATTGAAAAGTCGAAGTTTTGAAAAAGAAATCATTTCAAGTTTGTCTCAAGATTTTGGGAATAGTTTGAGGCTGTCAGTTTGCACTTGTACATTACGGTCGTGACAGTAGGAGTGAATTAGCATGGAAGTATTTGATCACTACACATATATATAAGACTAGTAATTACACCAGTTGTCATGAGGCACTAAATATCTCCAATACCGAGACGAAATCGGTTCTACTCACAAAACGCATAAAAAGTTCGAAGACGACGATACGAAATTAATAATTCCTTCTAATAAAAACGAACCGACTGCTTGTTATTGCAATAATAGTTGCTATGTTGAATAATGATCTTCTCTAGCAGAGTCATGTCATGCTATACGTAACTCACATGCAAGTAGGGCAGTAAGTTCCAAGTAAACAATGGAAACATTGTTTGAGAGTGTTATGCAAATAGGTCACATACACACATATGTGTGTGGTGTGTGTGTTGCATGTATGTATATGCATGATTGTATGTTTGTATACACATATACAAGTAAATATTTACGCATGTAATATGTATGTGAATGCATGTATGGTGTGTGCTTGTATATGGCTTCTAATGAAAAGTTAACTTATAGAATGAATAATACACTTTCGGTTAATTGAGTAACATAAACCATGCTACTACTCATGTACTGTGAACGTAAACGTTATGTAATGTTTGTATGTGTATGCTGTGTACATGTGTATCTTATCTATGTGTGTTTTATATGTGTGTAATTGTATGTTATATGGTTATAGTATATATGTGTATTTGTATTTATCTATGCAGCCTGTATAGCCAAACGTTCACTCAAGTATAGCATTACTAAGTGCGTATTGTAAAAGCGATTCAGGAATCCCAAATATTTCAATAAACTGTGTACACAAGCGTGAGCATTATTGTAGATAGAAGATTTTGAAATAGGGACGACGACGACGATGATGACAATTATGATGATGAAGAATTGATGGTTTTGTTGATTTCGATGTATGTATTGTATATTTGTGTATGATTTTGTGTATGTATGTATATATGTGTGTATGTATGTATATATGTGTGTATGTATGTATGTGTGTGTGTGTGTGTGTGTGTGTGTGTGTGTGTGTGTGTGTGTGTGTGTGTGTGTGTGTGTGTGTGTGTAAGTATATGTTTGTATATCTGTTTATTCAAGTCATGTAGAAACTATTAAACAATGCAGTTGTGTTGGATTAGACTTAGTTAAGATTTTTATTAAATTGCAACTTTATGAAATAGACGATGACGAACAAATAATTATAAATATCCTTATAATATAAGTTATCATCATTTTATTTAATAATAATTTAATATTTTTTGATAATTATCAATAAAAAAAAATTTAATTTATTTTCTAAATTCATACTATTATTACATATATAATACACAATATATACGTACCTCCAACGATTAAACTGGATACCAGTAAAATAACGCAGAAAATAACTGATTAAATCATCTAGTATTTTAAATTTTACTAGCTATTTTACTCTTTAGAGTAATTTAGACTTAGAATTATTCGTTGAGTCGCAGAATTACTAGTTAGTAGTTGTAAGATTAATACATGTTAATAGTTTGCAGTTGCAGTTATACAAAGTATTCTCTAGTAGATAGCTGTTAAAAAAAGTAATATAGCAGTTTAATAGTATTATTGTTTTTATATTAGACAGTTACCATTTATTCTACTAAACTACTATATTACTAGCATTTCTGATTTAATTTCAAGATTATTTGAAGTACTAATAAAATAAAAAATGGACGGTTTTGTTTAATTTTGTTGTTAAGTTGAGGAAGGATGCGGTAGAATGGAGTTGAAATAACCAATTCTGATTGGAATACCTTTGACTGAAAATCTGTGAAACTATTTAAATTATGAACAAGAGTTTTTTTCAAAAGTTTTAGCGGTTGGTTTTCTATTAAAACATTTATATTTTTTGTTAATGATGATTAATTAATTGATGTGCAACGAAAACTGTTTTTTGTTCATATTTACGACTCTGACAAATGTTATATAATTTATAAGAAACGCATTATTATCGTACTTTTCTCTGTCATCAATTTGATCAATTGTTTGTTTGATTCATTCATTCATTCCCTTGTTCATTCATTCATTCATTCACTCATTCATTCATTCATTTATTCATTCATTTCTTTATTTTATATATATATATATATATATATATATATATATATATATATATATATCTGTTAATTTGCAATCACATGAATGATATGATTGTAATGATATCGACTAAAGAAATGAATGAATGAATGAATGAGCAAATGAATGAATGAGCGAATGAATGAATAAACGAATGAAAGAACGAATGAATAAATGAACGAACAAATGGATAATTTCCATGTCTAATTGCATTACTCGAGATCACACACTTACATGACACATTCATCACCCAACTGACAAATATCATCGCGAACATCAAATGAACTATCATCCTATTGATTCATCTACTTATTTCTTCGTATAATTTTGTATGTTCATTCATTCATCTATTAATGAATGAATAAAGTTTTTATTTTTCCTATCTGTTCATTTATCCATCCATCTGTCCATCCACTAATTAATCAAGTATTATCTACCCGTTGATAGATTTTCTTTGATTTATCTCCAATCAATTATCTATTTTCAAACACTCAAGTCATTCACTCATCGACTCATTCATTTATTAATTCGCTTGTCTATTTGTTGTTCATTCATTCAATTATCCATCCATCCAACTATCCACTAACTAGAAGTCTGGAATTAGGACAACAGTAAAGTATGGAACCGGAAACAGATCTGCCGGAAGGATGGGAAATGAGCGTGGACGGTAATGGCCGCCACTTTTTCATCGACCACAACAATCACCTGACAACATGGCTAGACCCTAGAGATAGGTGGATGACTTTGTGTGCGTGTGTTGCGTGTGTGCGTGCGTGTGTGTGTGCGTGTGTGCACGTGTGAGTGTTTGTAAAAGGTAGTTAGTAGGTGTGTAGTATGATGATATATATTTTGGTTGACGTAGGATTTAACACGGGACCAGTTTTTCCAACCATTACGCCATATTACGTCATCATCTTCCTCATCATCCTCGTCACAGTTGTCACATTTAACAACAGTAGTAGCATGAGTTCGTCACCAGTAACTCAACAATGCAACAACACATTCAATCATTTCATTGTCACTTCCGTTCGCCATATTTTTTACTGTTTATATGTTCATATCATCGTTGCCATCGTCGTTGTCATCATCACGTCAACATCACATCCTCATCATTTCATCATCATCACCACACCATCATGACGTCATTGTCGCAACCAACCACACAGATTCAAGAAGCCAGCTACATTCGCCGACTGTGGCGACCACGAACTTCCGTTCGGCTGGGAAAAGGTGCGTGACGTACACGGTGACGTCGGTGTTTACTACGTCAACCATCACAAAAGTTAGTGGGTCACGTGATTGGCTATAAGCTCACGTGATCGTGTTGTTTACTTTCTGAGGACGGCGATGCTCTTATAAGGACGATGATGATGACTGAAATGATTATGATGGCGAATGTTTTGATGATGATAATGACGACGACGACGATGATGATGATGATGACGACGACGATGATGATGATGACGATGATGATGATGATGACGACGACGACGATGATGATGACAACGATGATGATGATGATACGGTGTTGTTTATGGTTGTGCTGATGCTGACGTTGATATGCAACTGACTATAAAGATGGCCATGATGATGATGATGGTGACCAAAAAATATTTGTTTTTTTTATCACCGTCAATAACCATTTCCTGTACTATGGCGAAAAATCAAAAGACATTCTTATCATCATCGTCGTCGTCGTCATCATCATCA